AGTCTATGGTCTTTTGCCATTTATCAGGTATATGATACATGCCTTCGAGATAGAAACTTTTGGTGGTTTCTAATCAAAACAGCAATCGAACCATTTTTACACATCTTCAACCTTCTTGATCCTCTTGCCTATCAAATGCGATGACAACTATCTCAATAAGTAGTAATCAGAAGAACCCAATTTTGGAGAAAACGTCACATGTTGGATAACTTTCCGATCTAACAGATGAGCTCCTGAGTTGATGTAGTACTGAGTTTAATGTCTCTTGTATGTGGGCGAGCATTGACGTATAATAATAATATTTCTTTCCTCCTTTCTTGGTCCGTAAATGATTTTTATTCCTCCAGAGAATGACTTAAATTGATTAATGGACCCTGGTAATGTTCAACAATTGATTAATTGACCCTGCAACAACTTGATCAGATTCATAATACTTATGGAAAATTATTCCTTTTCACCCTAACCAGATACAAAGTTACGCTTCTTTGACATGGAGATTCGTTTTTGCAACTGATGTTGATAACTGACCTGGATCAATCTATTTAGGATTGTCGTACAAAACTCACTTTTCATCAATGACCATTGATTTAATGCAAAAACATTTCTCTTTTGTGCCGAAAAAGCAAATTTTTGCAGATGTCAACTCTTGGGCATTTGTTTTTTCTATCATTTTATGAAGGATCTAGTTTCTTTTCATCTGTATCATTCCTACTGTGAGAAATCAAACTGATATTGCTTGGTGAATAACCAAGAAATATCATTCTTCCTCTACAAGCTTTTCTTGGGTTTAACATGGATTTTCATTCACTATAAAATCTTTGTCTTCAATTTTTGACTAGCTAAATTTATTTCTTCCACTGCTTCAGCAATCTTTGGCTATATTTCGATCAGATTTGATTAATTTTGGTTACATTTTCGACATGCTTAAAAGTTAGAAAGCAAAAGCTTCAAACATTTAATTCATTAATGTATTCCAAAAATGCTTTCCATTTTAATTTTAAATTTATAGCTTAATTCGAGTTATAGACTTAGCAATGTGTATGGCTTGATGCTGAGTATATATTCTCCTGTAAGGCAATTAATCTGGCTGTTTTTAAAACAACCTTTTTTTTGGACATTTACTTTCATTATATTTCATTTTACTAAATAAATAATAATATTCCTTTTTGCTACTTAGTTTCTAAATATTTATGTATTTTAATTAAAATGTGCCGTTTGCTTTTTTTTTAAATTAGAGTATGAAGTACATTTAAAACAATGTCACCTTCATTTATCTATACAGTTGTGCTTTTTTTTTCAAGAGCCATAATATTTAATAGTTGTAAATTTTAAATCACGAATTTCCTAGCTCATAAACAGTTTTTATCTTGCCCTTGAAACTTAGGTCGAATTTTTCTCCATCTTACCATTTCCTTATGTTTCTAATTCATTTTTGTGATTTTATTTATCCAACTCAATCGACAGTAATCAAATCAAAGCTGACTAGATTCATTGTGTCAAAGGGGCTAGGTTACGTCTCATTTTGGCCACAGCTTTGAGCACCATGCAAGTGACAGTACGTTTTGGCTCCATTCCACCTCTAATTTTGAAGGAGGCACCCTGGTGGGAGAATTCGTGAGTTTCCATCCCTCATTTCCCTCATTAACAACAACACAAAATCAATCAACCAAAGTTAAGAGGTACACCCAAACATCAAATATGGAAAGCAATTAACGAGGTATGCGAAATACGAGAAGACTTTAAATTATCAAATCACTTACGTCTAGTCAATAGCTTCTACATCTTAGCTACCTAATCTATAGTTTAGTTCTTATTTGATAGTTCTTCAAATTTAATACTACAGTAATCAGCTACTAAATATCCACGCCTCACTTCACGTTTAATTAATCACTGCTCGCCGATAACAGTCTAACCTCTCTCTCCTTTCTAACCTGAAAGTCTAAACTTTACATACGTCTTAATTTGCTAGTCACATCTCCTTCTTCGGGAGGAAGCTTTATTATATAATAATTTTGAAAGACCCAATATTTCCCAAGAGGATTAGTTTTTAAAGGAACGCGGATAGACCCGTCACATTCTCACCGAGTATTTACATTACCCCCCCCCTGCCCGGGCACCTTGGCCCCGATATGTTTGCAAACATCAATGCTTTCACCGGGATTCTATACAAGATCCTTCGTCATCGTCACTAACTACTATCCCATCTGGGCGGCATTTTTGTAATATTTACTTTATTAATAACACTAAAGTGTTACAGAAATAAAAAGCATCTTACTGAAACATTACACAAAAATATTTTGTTCAATATTATACAAATTCACTTATAAACTTTCGTCCAAAATACTTTTTTTTTCTCTTTGACTTATAATGTTTACCCTATACA